GAAGTGATGTTTCAGATCACGATCAACATATTGAAGCGGTTCACCATATTCCACAGCCCGATTGAATCGAACAATCGCGGCCATTTTTGGCGAGTTTATTTGTTGATCCAGATGATCTGCTTGTGAAATTTTTCGAATTTGGATAGATTCCTAAGACTTTACGATTAAGATATTGTATTTGAAGATGATATTGATGGAGAAGAGGTTGTTGTTATACGTCCTCGCTGGATTAACAAAAAAGAAAAATATTCCCATAACTTGGACATTGAAGATTTTGGGAGGATTTGATTCTCAAAAGAAGCAGCGCTCCAGACACTGGAGTCTATCGAAGACCAAATAGAATTTGCAATCAATGAATTCATAAACTTCCTTCACATGGATTTACATAACATTATGATTTTGTCAATATTTTGAGGTTATCATCAATGACTGACTCTGAGTGACTATCAAGCGCAGCTGAATTAATCTGAGATCAAGAGTGGTTTGGTGAAATCGGGCCTAAGAAGGTTGAGGCAAAAATGTGCATTCATCTAACGATATGTCCTTTACAAATATAATAAATTCCGTAGATATCCGTGAAAAACTCACTTTCTCTGCTTCATTCATCGAAGGATCCCGAATTGAGTTGCACCTTCACACATAATGACTTTTCCCTGCTGCATGATAATCTTTTCAGATTTGCTATCGGACGTTTCATCTTCCCCTCACCATCAACAACTTTAATTTTACTTATGGGGCCCATATTTTATACAACTCATTACAGAATAAGTTGAAAAGATATATGGTGCAAAGAGATTGATAGATCATTGAAAAGTGAATAATAATAGCTTCTATGCAACCAGGAAAAATCCAACATGAAACTCAAAGAAAAAATGAAGTCGATGATGGTGACCAGCAGACGGAACGTCAGATAGCAAATCTGAGGAAACACCATTATTTAGCGAGGAAAAGTGCGATTCATTTCGAAATCAGGAATAAAATGAAAATAACTTTCCAAAATTTCAGTATTTTACGAATATTCCCATCATAACTACATGGAATTTCGATTGTAAATGGCATAATATCAATTAGATGAATTTAACCTTCTTCGTACCTCTTATAGTTTACAAAATCCCAATGGTGGAAATCAAACCTTGAAACACTCATAAACAAATCAACAACATTGAGAAAAATACTGTTAACTCTCAATCTTATTTCTATGAAATATAATTTTGATATTCTCGACGTTTTGATTCACATGGAGTGTTACTTAAATTTTCTCTCCGTTTGCCTTGATATGCTCATTCATTCAATTGCTCCAATATGTTACTTTTATTCCAATCATTTCCAGCTCTCTGAAAATGTTCCAATGATCTTGATTCGTTCATTTTTTCAAATTATAGCTATTGTGACCATGTGACTGGGAGGAGCTGAACCATTTGGACCAAAGCTTGTCAGTACTACTAACATGTCGTTTTTAAAAGTTATTTGTAATACCTAATAATTTTTAAACGCTATCAATTAGATGAGTAAAGTAACTCTTAATGCGAGTTTCTCTTTTCGTTACAACCTAAATTCTATATACAATATTATTATAACAGTATCCCATGCACACAGATCAAACAACACTTTGACAATCAGCCAGATGAGAGGGATAAATAAGTGTTCGTGTTTTGTGAAAAAAATATTTCTGTCAAAATTGGCATAGTGTTGTCTCGTCAGACTACCCTATCTCGCAATCGGTAAGCCATATCACCCTTTAATACCAGACTGTATTAAAAAAGTATGAAATGCTTTCTTAAAGGAACTTTTGTTCGTTTTTTATCGTGTTGATCGTTTTTCTCATAGTGGCACTTGATTGGGAGATATCGAGTTAATCGTCATCTGAATCACACGATTTTTGACTAGACCAATCTTATCATTAGCCCGCGGTTCAGATTTAATCGCTCCTGTCAAAAAACCATGCAGGCAGAATCACCGACATAAGTACTATCTAGACCGCTGAGTCACACCCAGCGACCCTGAAATCTCATCCAAATTGCTCGCCTCTAAACGCTTTCGCTCAATGCGCAGAATATCCAAACTGTCATTCATGACTTTGTGGTGATATTGAAATCACGCCATTTTGCTTCATTAGCGTCTGTTTGCAAAATAAAGTGAAGCGATATTTTTTCGGATGCTTTGTTCTGTGCTGTTAGAACAATTCCGAAGATGTCGTTTTTCCATACGCCAGTCTGTGAGAGATATTTATATAATTTCTTATATCTATTTGCTTTCATCAGTATTAGAAGTGACAAAAAATTGAATCACTGCATATTTGTTCATTCATTCAGATGTGCTTGATTTGCATTTCTGCCAGAGTTTAGGCGTGAAATGTCATACGTGATGATCTCTTTTAGATGAGAGTCTGCATATGCAGTAACGATTTTAGAATCCCGAAGGATGGGAGAAACGAATGGTTGAAGGCTATTAGATGACCACTGGACCCTAGTCCACACCTTTCAAGAAGGATATACTCAAAGCATTTTCACTTGAAAATGAATATTATTTTTACTCGTGTATTTGTGAAAACTATATGTATATACTATTCTTTTTCAGCTTGAAACAATGAATAACTCTCACAAAACATTGTTACTTACAATTTATCGGTCTCAATAATCAGTATTTGAAAGATTTGAACTGAATTCTACTTTTTCCAGAAATGCTAACGTAGATCGGGTTCATTAATGACAGGTCCTAAATTTTTTGTCTTGCTTGCCATCAGCGGTCTAGATGGTAGGTTATGTCGGTGGGCAGAATAGTTACTTAGGTTACTATGTACTATCCTCAGACATTAAATCAACATGGTACGCCGTCGTTTTGCATCGGAATCGGGCGCAAAATATTGTAAAAAATATTTGTTTCTTCAGTCAACTAGACATTCGTTGTTGATACTTTATGGAGTATGAAATTTTCGGACTTTCATAATGGTGAACGACAAGTGTTCTTGATTTAATGGCTCAAGGATGATTATCAATATCATAATTGTGAATATTTTAGAATATGTATCATCCAACACCTCTATAAATCACAGCAAATATACAAAAAATTGGAATCGAAGATCGATAATAACACAGTGACAAACATCACAAAGGAATTAAATGAGGGCTCTCCGATAATCTCTCTGTTTGACACATTCCATATTCATGTTTCCACTCATTATATGTATTCTATCAAAATCCTTTCATCAGTAAAGAGTGAAATAATTATTGGAACATTACAGATGGTAATTCCTAGTTCGTCAATATGATCTGAAAATAGGTTCAGATTTGTTTGTTCATACAATTAAAAGTTAGGTTAATGTTTCAATAGAAATAAAAAAAAACGAAATTTAATCTGTTTTAGAGTGCCGAAAACACTTGATAACACTTTGAATTTTGACTAGAACAGTTGAGAGCATAATTGAACGATCTGATTCTCATGATCATTTAGCGGAATTTGAATCAATCATCAACCATCGGGTTAGACATATCTCACAGAGAAAAATCAGAGTAAGGGGCATCCTCAGATGATAGACAAAGAGTTTCATCCTGCATCTCTTCCAAAAGAAGGAAAATCATCCTATTTCAAAGTGTTTCGGTATTCTTACGAATGAGAGGTGTGACAGGCATTGACTAACAGTAAAAACAACAAAGAACGAACAAAAAATGTATGCAATGAAGATTCATCAAAATTCCGAGTGGAACTTGAAGATAGTATTCCTATAGGCATATTGAGAATATATCTTTCCTAGTTTCTATAAATAAAAATATGATGCCAAGTGTGTAAATCACATTGCATCACCAAAGACATGTTTTCAATATTGTCAGGGCAATGATAAATGAATAACACTTTCTGTATAATAAGAGAATTCTTGGTTTTGGGTTTTTCCCGTGCTCTCAAAAAGAAAATCAGTACCTGTAGTATGATCTCCAATTATGACGAATTAACATGTTTTTATTTCCGGATCCACATGGTATCTTTCCACATTGGAATATTGTCAAATCAGATGATTCATCCCAAAGTGCCAATGCATTTTTTGTTCTTTATTCACGTTGTAAAACAACAGCAGATTCGAACCTGAATTGTCAAAAGTAAGTAAACATTTGATATCGTCCTATTATCTCACTTTTTGTTTCTTTTTTCCATGGATTTTAAACAAGGTGTCATCGACTATTGATGAAGAATTTCTCTCAAAATAATATTCGAATTTATAGAAACCAGGGAAGAAAGTCCCAAAAAATCTAGAGGAATGAACATTCCTCCCCATTAAATGTTTTTTATAGACTGTATTCGAAGACTTTCACTGATATCCTCAAAAACGGGTGACATTGAGTAAAATGAGGGAGTCTTTGAAGACTAGACAGTTAACATTGACATTACAAGTTGCCCCCCTGAATCGAATCATGATAAAGATTTCCATCAAGATGGTTCCATAAAACCATTAAGTTGTGCAGGAAATACAATCGGAATATGATCTTCTATACTGCCTTGAGCGGAAGTTTAACATCTGTCACCACATTCAACTACTTGAAAGGAAACCATTTCGGTAATTGGAATAAACATCAAGAAAAGAAAAGTACTTTCAAGAACACTTGAGGATAACTTTGATTTACATAAAAAAGGGTTCTGAAAAAAAAAGGTTCATTACAGGCTGTCACACCTTCTAAAGAAAGAAGAAAAAAGTTGCCTCGCTCTCACTAAGGAACGTTCGTTGGTCTCTGACTATCATCGAAGTTTTCCCGCTATAACGTTTTTCGAGACCTGAATGCCAAAAAGATAAAATAAATTAGACAAACATCATTCGCTCACTCTCTCACATTGATTTGTTCTCCTAAACTATTTTTTTTCCAAACAAAAAACGGAACAATATATAACACAAAAATTTTTCGTCATCACATGACCTCTGTAGATACACAATCAGTAATAATATCGGTAATAAAAAGTTTCTCATCATAATATATAAACAGTGGTGATAAAATGAGGATTCGAGCGTATCGTTGTTACTGCTGCAGGTAGGAAGCCAGCGCGGCCATGACAGGTGCAGGGGGCAGCGCTATGGGGATGTGGTAGTATTTACAGGCGGACCGACAGCACTGCCCTTTGGCCGCGTCACGGCATACCGCCACCCGCTGATCCACTATCTCCACCCCATCTCCTGCACACACAAAAACACTCCATTGAAGTCATTATTTGTGAAAACCTTCGTGGAAAGGATTTTCCACAGAATTGTTTAGTTCACGGAAATTGAGATTTAGATTCGAAAAAATCATATCCTAAGGTATTCACACACAAAAACACTCAATTGAAATCATTATTTGTCAAAACCTTCATGAACGATAGGATTTCCACAGAATTGTTTAGTTCACGGAAATTGAGATTTTGATTCGGAATTAGTATATTACACACCGAGGTGGGAAGTGATTCATTCCTGCTGTGAGATTAGTTAGTTAGCTATTATTTCGAGAAATACAATTTTATTGGACTAGAAAGACTTGACTGGTTCATGATTTTTATTTACAACCATATATGAAATGTTGTCATTACTAACGTCATTGAAGGTTGGCAAGTGTCACATTACACACCTCTACTTCCCGCCCCTCACTCATTTAATAATTCAGGTATGTTCAGAACGAAACATAGATTTATTAATTTTGATCGGAATATGATGGTTGTAAATAAAATAGTATAGAAACCTCGGTAGGAAGTTTCATTCCTGTCTCGAAATTATAGCTTACCTCGACGCTCATCTCACGACAGGAATGAATCACTTACCAACTCGGTGTGTAATATACTATTTTCACACCTGACGCTCTGTTATTCGTTAGCAGAGAAAAAAAACAACTTTCTCTCATATTCCACTAGATAGAGGATGAGAGTACCCTGGAGTGAACACGATCTGCTCCAACTGCAACATCACCACCTCCAGAACCAAATCCTTCAGGGTACCAGCTCCCTGCCAAACCACGATTAGATAGTAGATGATAGGGATTACCCGCATCTAATTATTTTCTATAACCCTAGACTTCTGATGGGACCTAGGATTTTCTTGATGGTTGAATTTTTCACCTCTGTAGCCGTCAGGATGCGGCCTTCAGCGGACTAGAACATTATATGCATAAACAAAGTATGTGTTCCGCGGTTTCGGTCACGTTTGACAAAAGTTTGATTTTCCGCCAGGCCCATTTTTTCAAGCAATACCTCAGTGGGCAGTATTTTAGCTCTGGCTTGCTGAGACTGAGTAATTGTTGATGATCTTTTTTTTCTCGTTGACCTGGGATTGCTCACCAAGGCTTTTTCGCTCTCTTTCCATTTCATGATTAGATAGCATTTACTTGTTCTACAGAAAGTCTCGGGACCAAAGGATATGGACTATGACCTTTTTTTACAAAGGCGGCCTCATGGTCTGGAACCCATGCACATTAGCGAAGAGTGATTTCAATACTTATCCATCATAAAATGGATAATTTGATAGTTTGAATAGTTATTATCCGTTTTTCATCAAAATCTATGGAGAATACTCATATCAATCACAATAATCAATTTTTTATGTCCCCCTAACCACACACGATACGAAAACAAAACATTTCAGAGCTTTTAAAAATATTGGTAAGAGGTGAATCAAACAAGTGGAAAGGATGAGCCTGAGAGTGACAACTACGACCAGCAGACGTATGCTGGTCGTAGTTGTCGACGTCTGAGCGCTCTAACATACGTTCAGCTTCTCGGATATTGACGAACTTCACATGGGCTCTATAGGAAACTCGATTCTCTTTGTGAATGATGTGTTTTGTCCAATAATACGTGGATTATGAATTATCTACGAAACACCGACCAAGAATTCTTTGCAAAGTACGCAACTTTTGTCAATTTTCATCTTGTTCTGGCTCCTCACTTGTTAGACCTTTATCCGCAAGCAAGAACAATGCCAATGGCTCACTCACCTAGAACAGGTCTACCTGACGCTTGCTGAGGTGGAAAATTTGACCATCAAGAAAATCCTACCTTTCACCAAAAGTCTGGAGTTATAGAGACGACCATTATTGAATCAGAATAATCCGTACAATCTACAATTTAATCGAAGGATTCGGTTCTGGAGGTGGTGATGGTGCAGTTGGAGCAGATCGTGTTCACTCCAGGGTACTCCCATCCTTTATCTGGTGGTATATGAGAGAGTTGGTGTTGTCCCTCCGCTAGCGAATAACAAGCAGCAGGTGTGAAGCTCATTAGCAAATTGATTGATTGATTGATTGATTGATTGATTGATTGATTGCATAGAATATGAATTATCTACGAGAACCGACGAATAACACTACATTTTGCAAAATATTTTCAACTTGCTCGCTCCTCATCCGTTAGTCCTATATTCATGAGCAAGAACAAATATATAAAATTTCACCTACTTCAACTTTCTATGGGGTGGTCTTTTCGATAAAATGTAGTTTTCGAATTACGGGCAAAAAACTGAAAAGAAGTGCGAACATTTCGCTGTTTTTGCGAATATCTCGGAACGCTCCAGGAAATTTTGTTTGCAAACTTCAAATTCAGAACTCCTAAAAACAATATATAAGAAAATTACTTGACATTTTTCCACGAGAGGATCTTCATCGTCACCGTGATTCAACTGAGCTATTACACTAAAATGTGTATCCATATCAAATCCACTCGTGGCATCCAAATTCTGATTGCGCAGAAGACTATAAAGTCAATATCATTCGTGGTCAAGCTACTCAATAGCAAAAAATCTGGAGGGTATCTCCCATACAGTGATGAATTTGCGCCTTCGAAGTTAGATATTTGTTATTTTCATTTCATTATCGTATGAAATACAACAAGTGTATTGATGATTATCTAAATACAAATCCCTTGCGATGTTGAGAAACAATCCGTGTTGCTTGGAAGCGCGAGTGTGGTTGCCGAAGGCAATTCAACTCGTTTCGAAAAAGAAATTTTCGATAATCATCAATAAAACGAGTTGTATTTGTTAAGATTGCAGTTCATTAATGACATGGGCAAAATGATGAAGGAGCTGGAACTGATTCTGACTATAATCTGATCCTGACTATAATCCGATCCTTACAAAAAATAAGAGATGCGTTCACAATGTTTTTAAATAAACCTTACGGAAAAATGAATAGCTAAATATAGGAAGTTCTTCCATTTGGTCATTTCTCTTTGAAAATGGAACACACCACTGTAGATCGTAGGAAATTGAAGCATAAACATTAGGAACACGTCGACGTTATTACCGCGATCGACTCGTCTTAGACCATTATTTGAGGATGAAAGATACTCACCTTCCTGTAGGTGAACAAATTTGCAGGCAGGCCGGTTGCAAAGACCACGATTAAAATCTTGGCACACCGGGAGGGTGTCCAGTAACTGAAAATTTCCAATAAGAACATGAGTACAACGTTTCGGAACCCTTCGTAACATTAATAATAATTTATAGTATTAATCGTGTGGTGCGTATGTATGCACATATTATTTCTGAAAAATATTTGACTAAAAGCAGCATACATAGGCACTACTACACTAGAAAACCACAACATTTTCTTAGAATTTGGAAACTCATTGCACATGCGAATCGCTTAACGTTATTGTGAATTTTGGTCAGTATCGAATAGAAGAGAGAATAGAGCAAGAAGCCTCCAGAAATGTTGTTAAATGGCAGTAGTAGCCGATCATCATTTCATTTAGAACAATTGAAGTAAAACATCATCGCCAACATGTCAATTGTTCAATGGTCAACTTTGACAGTATGAACACGTACTATGTTTGAGGCCGCAACATGTTGGAGCAGTGATAGATGACAAAAGCTGTGATACTAGCGAAGTGATGAAATAAAAAAGTACGGTATTCACATCGAAGCGGCATTGATTTTGCCGACGGGTGATATGTGCGAGACAGTTTTCATTTCTTTGCTCATGGATTAAAGACTCCTTTGCTGTCAGCACAATATATTATCATCACAATGCTGAAAAATGGATTACCACAAATTGGAAGGAAATTCAAGATCGAAGAGGCAGAAATAAATAATTTATTTGAGGCAAGATATGTTGTTCTTATTCAATTGCAAAACTGAAAACGATAATCGCAAGAACCTATACTTAGTGAAGTGAACAACTTGAACCATACTAGTATCGAAGTTTCAACATGAATGCAGGAAAAATTATTTCTCAGCTCTAATAATCGCTCCAACATATTCATGGCCTGGGAATACTTCCTATTTCTAATGTCAAGCTAAATATTCGATGACATAACATTATAGGAGTTAATGTGAACATAACTGAAAAAACAGAAGTGTGGAAGATAGAGCTTGATGAAATTATAATGAAATTTGAAAGTAAGCAGAACAAATAAGCAGGGAGAGGTTTTCAATCCAAATTACATCCTAAATGTTTATTTACAAAGAATTGATTGTGATGACACATCTGAAATTAGTTTGCTCATTCATGCACATTTTGACAATTATAATTTTTGTATGAAACAAACTTCCAATTATGTTTCTTATGATAGTGGTATGCCGCATCTGTTTTTTTTTTTCATAATTTCTAGTGGCTTGTTGCTCGATTCTGTCTTTGCCTAGAAATAATTACAACTAGATAGTTCAATCATTCTGCACAATAATTTTTCAATAACAGTACATTTTGATGATCAACATTTCGTTATTGCCAATCGTAGCAGTTTTGATTTGAACATTACACGATAATTCTCAGGTGCGGATATGGTTGAAGAAAAAGCTAATGGCAGCATAATAAGGCCTAAACCAAAAAGCGATAATGGTTAATAAAAATGAGGAAATGATACATAAAGTAGCGTTCACATGCAGAATGTTTGAAAATCTCTGAGAAAAACAGGCGTAAAACTCAAAAATCGCAGTGTCTTTTAGAAGACAGCGCACAAAAACTACTAGGCGTTATTTTTCTACTAAAAACAAAACGCAAACAGATTGTGAGCGGCCAGTTAGTAGCTTAAGATCACAATATGCTTGCATTAATTGAACAATGACAAGTTACAATGACCATCATGGGAATAATGAGGTTGACATTGTAATAATAGAGAGTGGGCATTGATGAACATTTTTGTTTAGGTCAACTCAGTAATTATGAGGTATACAAAGAGGGAGTGACATTCTTGATTTCTTTTCTCTGAGATAAATCCACTGGCGGAAAAGAAAATTTGCCATTGATCCAGCGGCGTTGAGAAAATTCGAAAGGAAAATAAAATTTCGAGTTATGGCGTGTTTTGGCCTAAAGTTGCACTGTTTCGAAAGGAAATAATAATTTGCTATAATTCAGTTGATACAAATTTATATTTCACTAGATTACTATTTCCGTTTTTTTCTTCAATTTCCTAAAATCGACCAGTCACCAGGCATTTGTAGTGATAAAAAAGCTACCTAGCTTTCCCAAGAACTGATAAATATGCCTTGCTCTCAATCAACACACTTCTATACTTTGACAACAACAACTGTCATCGTCACTACCATCAGATAATTTTCGAGTTTTCTCAACACATCAATGTTTTCATTGATAAATACACTTCAAATTGTATTCAAATTTCATTCTCTTATGTATTTACCACCGATAACAAATTCATATTTTCACGTAAATCTGTAAAAAAAAAGATATCAAGAATGTCACAACGCTTTTTTAAATCTTCAATAGTTATCGAGTTCACACCCTATAGATGAATATAAAATATATATAGTATATTTCCATATTATGTTTATATCTGATATAATAATCATTATTCGTCTAATCTTTAATGAATTTATACAAAATATGTAAGTGTAGTAGGTATTTGAAAAATATTCCAACGAAATAATTACAAATAGGTAATTCAATGATATCTTGAATATTTTGAATAAGAAAAGGAGAAAATAACATGATCAGTGACGTTTGAATAAGAGAAGAGAATATCTGAGAGCATAGTTAGTTAAATACGTTGAAAATCAATATTTTAGTCAGTGACTTTTGGATCTTCAATATTTGTAACCTGTTTATAAGGAATTGAATCTGTAGCAAAAAATCATTTTCATTGAAGTGTGCCTGAAATGTAGTGGTGAAATGAAAAATCTCTTGCAATATTATTCAGAATTGTATAATATCCCGAATCTTTGTTTCTACCCAAGTGGGTATCTTTATTACATTCCGTTTTCAAAAAATATCCTCCAATTTTTAAGAAAGTAAAAAAAGCGGTAATCTTACATCAACAGATGACATTTGGATAGAATTTTATCTTCAGAAATCTCACAGGAACGGGTAATAACTACATAGAATTGACATTGAATTGTCACTCTCTAAAAAGCTCAAACTAACAAGATATCGAGCTCCCCCTAGTTGAACAGTCAAAACGAAATTGGATAAACTTGGAGGTTATGTTTGCCCATGCATTGTAACTTGTCATATCAGGTTATCCATGTAAGCTGTGCCACATTATGTTAAACTTATTAATATCATAAGTAAGTGAATATAGTTGTATACCAGAAACAGCTAGCACTAAAGATGTAGTACAGCATACATGATGTTAAACAACTCGAATACCTGTCCTTGTTCGTCAGTGTAGATCACAAAGGGGGCGTTGGAAGGCGCACCATTGTCTATGGCGTCATGCAGTATATATTGTGCAGCACAAGCGTCATCGCAGCCAAAAATGAGCAATGCGACAACAGAGTACGTTACAGCCATTACGATCAAATACCCACCAGACACCGAGTATATGTGAATAGTTAGACAGCGTGTGTTTTATTTTGAGGTAATATGTAGCTCAACATGGAGTGTGGGTCCGTGTCGGCGAGAGACGAAAATGTTAGAGTTTCGAGGGGGTAGCGTGTGTGATGTTCGATTGTTATTCGGGTGTTGGTGGGTGGGATCCCCAGAAAGAGACCGCGGCCAAAAAAGACAACAACACAGTCCAGATTCAGCGGTTTTTCGGAAGGTCGGGTTGCAAAATAAATTTAATGGAAATCGTTTTTTTTTTGACGCAACAGAACAGATGGTTTGTGGCGGAAACCAAAGGAATGTATGCATGAAACAGAAAAGCAAAATAAACAAAATTAGATTCGAAAGGAATTAATGGCAAAAGCCCAAGTATATTCATCAGGAAGGATTTCGAGAATGAATCAAATTAACATTAAAATTTAAGCAGCTTAACAAACTGTTTTCTTTCTAGAGCATCTTCCTGATAATTGATATCAAAAGGAAAAAATACTATGAAAATTATACATATATTTTCAAAAGTATATTTTCCGTGAAACATATTGAAAATATTGATCAAAAGGAAGTAATAACGCTGAAATTTGTTACTTACAAATAAGGTAAGTGTTAAGCAAAAAAGCAGAGATTCTATAATAAATAAAAATATGATTTAAGAAGCTGTTAACGTGTAGAACAAATCTGCGATGCTACAATTAGTCTATGCGGCTGGATTCTGCAAACATAACATATTAAATATGGCGTTGTAAACAATAATAAATAATTTCATGTAAATAATGGTTAAAAATAATATCTCATAGAAGTATATGATATAAAATACCTACGTATTACATTTTTACTTACTACCAAGCTACAAAGGTTTTTAGCAAATGAGAAAATGTAGAAAACATTCGAAATGTACAAAGCTTCTAATAGTCTCACTCATCGCAAAACACTACAATAGATTTTTCCAACACTTCGGTTCATCACTTGTTAGGCATGTTTTTTTCTCAACAAAGCTCTTCGAAATTTTCTCAAATTCTTCAGGCTTGTGCAATGTGCATATTAGGTTAGAAATGTGCACGAGAAGGGACACAGTAGACGATGAGATTCGTTTGATCTCTCAGCTTCGCACATTACACAAGCAAAGATGGGTAGGTAATTTGCTAAACTGCTGGATATTTCTTTTAGATAACACCAAGCCTAGATATAATGAATCGGTTCTAATACCAATTCCTCGTACAGGAAATAGAAGGATGCTGTACCTCCCATTTTATGTTTTTGTGTTCCATCATTCAGAAAATTTAAATTCATACCACCATTCATATGAAGACAACAGTAATATAATCTCGAACATCCTTTTGAACCGTAGATTGTTGCATTCAGTGTTCTCCGAACTTATTGGAAGGTTATTTTCGAATGGCATCAGATGGTGAAACATTATTATCAAATCAAAATACTCAATCGAAGCCAGGAAAATTGTTTTTTGAAACACCTTGAATAGGAGATGCGAATTGATGATTCCAGCTTTGGCAGATAAGAGAATTTTGAACATGAACTGAAAAAATCGATGTTACAGAGTTTGTCACAACCATTACGTTCAAGTAGTTTTTAATTACGTCATATAGAGTAGGCTCAGTTTCCATTTTCAATCCTAATGAAACGATATGATAAATATCAGTTACCTACAATATGAAGTATGTAGATACTGATTGAAAATACAATGAATGAACAATCGATGATTCAAATGGAACAAAACATTCAAGATTGTTTGTTTTGATAAGAACACTTGATAAGAATGTACAATGATTTCTTGAAATTGAGTAATGAAAGTTTTCTGAAGTAAAAGCCCAAATGGTCTACAATTTTATTTTATAATTCATCGCCACAGACAGATGTTTTGCAACGTTTATTTGATGTATGCAACTTTCAAGTAATGATTTTCATGCGTTCTCAACACGTCCTAGACAATTATCCATTTGTGCTCTTATGCAGCGGCATCACACCAATTATATTTGAATTTTCATTGAAAATACAAACTTGATTGGTGACGCCGCTGCATGCGAGCACATATTGATGGTTGTCTTGGAGGGCATGTTGAAAAACCATAAAAATGATTACTTGAAAGTTGCATGCATTGAAAAAACGGTTCAAAAATCATTACTAGCCAGTCTATAACTCAATTTTGAAAATTTAAAATACTTCGATCAATGTTTGGGTTCCTCATATCGTTCCTGTCCTGGTTCCTCTTCCTTATTGTTTACTAGAGGGATCTTGGAAAATGATTAGTTGAATTTAAAAGTTGTGCTATTCGATAGCTATCTCAAAAATCCAAGATATCTAGAGAAGTTTCAGAATCATCCTGCAAAAAGAATCGAAATATTTTGGTAACAGTTAAAGATATCTTGGATTTATTCATACTGTGAGCCATAAAGGTTGGAACAAATTCCTTTTTAGTGATTTAACCAATTCTGTTTCTCTAACCCTTTCCAAGATCCATGTAGTGAATAATGAAAAGTGACAACTCTGAATAGGGTGTGGCGGATCACTCGTCAATGATGATGGAGTCTCCTAATAGATGTTGTCTTCATATTTGGCGATGAATTTTCCAAGCAGTGTTAGTCGAAGAAAGCAATGATATATGGGGTCATTGTGGAACAAACGATAACACAAAAAATAAAATGATGAGGCAAGCGGTAGGGGGTAGATCACAGCCTGTACAGTATCTTCGTCGATAGTAATAAAATAAGCCAAAAGGCACGTGAAAGGGTAGGTTCCAACAAAAAAATATGGGGTATTCGGAAAAATAATCAAAATAATAAGCAATGATTAATAAAACAAATATCATGCATTTTCAAGCATTATTATTACAAATAGTAGGCGGTGATAATACATACACCTCAGGATTAGAACAATACAGTACACTGTAAATCATATAAATTCAGTGGAAAAGGATTGTATTTAAACACTAATATGGCGATTGTGACCCACACCTTAGCGAAGCGTGATCAGCAGCCTAAAGGCACTACGTTATTGTAAGTCATCAAGATGGCTGGCAGCTGATTACGCGCAGCCGCACCAGTACTGCAGTGGCACAGCCTCACAGTACTGGGCAACTTTTTCAACCAAAACTACTATAGCAATTTGTTCACCACTCCGTACGTTTAACTTTATAGGTGGTCAAAATGTCGAGTATGAAACATTGGAAACGAACAACTAAAACTGCAGCTACATTCTCCCCGGTTCACTCTAAATGTCATTCTCTTTCTAGCTTGCTTAGGCCGGGAAAACATTGCAAGTGATTCAAAGCATATAGCCATGAAGTGGCACGACATGAAATGGAAAAGCAATGGAAAGAGGTACTGATTGACAAGTTGAACGTGCGTAGGGTACCACAAAGGTAGAGCCTGTTCTCTAACTATCCTGATACATAGTAATCCTACTTAAAAATGCAAATTCTTTATATAATCTGTGTATAGTACCTACTAGTTGAAATAAACATTTACTTATAATGAAAATACATGCATCACAATAATGTGTACTCTTCATAAAAGTACAAGTGAAATTTAACTTGTTTGAATGCTATATAATAGTAAGACACATTCCTTTCTGCAAGTATATTATAACAACTATAATTAATAATACATCACAATACTAGAGCTATATCTATTCCTATATCTTACAATAGAAATGTGATTAATTTTACCTTGGACACAGGACAAATATTTAGCTTTAGAATTATTGTATAGGAGTGTTTAACACTTTTTTTTTTCGAATTAAAGGTATTAGTAGAATTCCATTTCAATTCCCTAAACTCACTATATCGTCAAAAAAATAAATCTGACTTTAGACTCTAAAGAATATGCATTTTTCAAAAATATCATCTCGATTTTGTTCAACATCTAAGGGATTTTTGGTAGAGTAGCGTACAGGAAATCTACTAAGATTGCACTAAAGAAAGCCTAAATATTTGCTCTACATACAAGATAACTACAATGAACGAGAAAAGATGACACGCAGAACATATAAAAAACTACATTTGTGCTTCGAGATCAACCCAGGAAGACAAAAATAACAACCGCCTTAGAGGCAACTGCATGTTCATCATCATATTACAATTACATCTAACATAATATATCAAGGAACAAGTTTCGTAAAAAGTATACAAAAGTCTGACATACGTATTCGTGTGTATACGTATGTGATGGAACAAGAAAGATCCAACCCAAAAAGAAAACCAAGGACATGCATACACGTATTTGATAAGCCCCATGCAGTTTGGAACTAATACACAAAACATAGAACGTCTGGATGTCTTCGACAGTCAAAGTCTGTACACATCAATATCAATTAATAAGTTGAAGATAATTGTTGTAGAAATGGATAAACAGATGAAACTCACAATTGACCCAATCTATATCCTAAAATCTATGGACTCGTGAAACTTTAGGCCTATTATCCAAACGGCAAGATGAACAGCATTATATCACTCACTAGATTGTTAAATTTATATACAAACCTGGCGTCTTTTTGGGTCAGTTAACATACTACTCTGAGATGGCACTTCTAACGAATTTTACGCATCTACCATGCGAATCAATTAGGCTCTCAATATTTATTCCAATTTATAGAAAATTCTCTCATGCAAAAATTTTGAATTCAATTCATCAGTTGACATTGTCAGAAATACATTTTTCTATCAATCTCTAAAAATTCAATATCCCTATGCGGTAGATTTCAGAGCGGTGTATAGTAAGGTGGGGGGCAAGGGTTATGTAAGTAATGGGGGAGGATGTTAATTTTAGCGGTGCAGCAGCAGGTGTGAGAGGTATCACAGTATCGAGGCACTCGCTTATTGGTCCGGGAACATTGCCCAGTTTTTTTTCTTCAATTTAAATCAACAAAGTGACTAGACACGAAATTTTGATAATCACTAACAATTATTACACGTATACGAATTAAAATGATGTCACTCTACTCTAAAACAAAAATTTCCAATGTATTACACATAATTATTAATAAAAACAAGGTTAGAATTGTAATTAAATAAAGGGTGGCGCAACCAAAACGATACATACTGGAAAACTTCCAGGAGGATGTTTTTTAGTAAAACACTGAGAAAAGTCGATTTTGATGCCTTGGAGGACATATTATCATCATATCCCCTAAAGCCACATATTATTCCACCTTTCTCAACTTCAGCGACATGGAGGAAAGGGAAATAACATGTAACAGTAGAGGGTCGGATGAAAAGATGTGCCCCATGAATAGTGTTTCAAAATGAACATTCTCCCGGAAGTCACTCAGTTCATCTCATTTTCGTTGGACCACCCCGTATAAGTCGAAGCTCGAAAGCTCGCAACGCGAAAATCGTGGACGCTCTCAAGCCGACCGATAAAATATTACACAAACCAACAAAATTCAAACAATTTAAAAATCGCGCCCGCCCTAGTTCGTCTTCAACTTCTTGTACGGCTGCAAAACGACATTATTGTTGTTGTTCTGCGCCGCAGCGACAGCTATGCTCGCCTGCGCAGTCGTGCTAGTCATCGGCGCGGCAGACACCGTAACCGGATACTGCGCCCCCAGCAAGCTATTGCCGTAAATCGGCGTCGAGTTAGCGTACATAGCCGAAGCGACCGTGTGCTGCCCGTAAGGCTGCCTGTAAATCGAGTACGGATTGAACTGGACCGGCGGCGGTCGGCTCATATTCAACAGGTTCTGTTGCGCGATGGCCTGATACTGATTGGCCAGCCCGAGATTGACGGCGTTGAATTGGAAAGGCAGCCCGGGGTAGCGCTGGAAGGCGGCCGCTTGCGGAGGCATGGCCTGCAAATGCTGCTTGTTCAAAGCGACGCCGGTGTAGTTCAGCGGATTGAGCGCAGAGTACTGTTGCGAAGCGGCTATGGACTGATTGACCGCGGCCAGCTTGATGGCTTTGGCGTAGTTTTGCTGGGCGACCTCTTTAGCGAGCGCTGCGGGATCGGGAATGTGGGATTGGGCGGGTTGCTGAGGCATGACCGAGAGGCTAGCGGAGCTGGTGGAGTCTTCGTGGTGCTGGACCAGCGCCTGCTGAGACTCGGCGGGGGTCTCGGGGACTGTGGGAGAAGCGCAAGAGGAGGTGGGAGCGGGGGCAGGAGAGGTGGAATACTCACATGAGACGGGCACGAAGGGCTGCTGCAGCTGCATCAGCTGTTGGTACGTGGTGGCGTTGGGCTGGTAGACGGGCACGCCGGATTTGTCGGCGGCCGGCCGCTTGTAGGGCACCATGCCTGCTGGGAAGGCCTGCTGACATGAAAATACTTCAGAATGTGAAGCCGAATTGTTGTTTTTGGATTTGGAATCAAAGACAGGTTGAATAGATCAATATTAATGTATGTTCAGTAGTAAGTACTTCGAAATATTAGTTATAAATCGATAACTTTGTTGCATAATTATTACAAAGAGTGTCCGTTTACCAGGTAAAGCGGGAGGATTATTCTGTTGAACTGGCACAATTTGTAATTGTGCAGGGAGTTTGAGATGTATAACCTTGAAGATTTTGAAGTTCGAATTGTATTCGATGCAATTACTTCTTAAGTAGTTCTGAACGATCGTCAAAATTTGACTACGCGATTCTAAATTTGATTGGTGGAACGAATGTGAATGTATATCCACGTATATTCGAAATTATACAAGGTAGCTCAGCTCAATTGAACGTTCTGATTGGTTTAAAATCATACGAGGAAAATAATCTGAATAATATCCCCTCAAAAAGATCGATATATTGAATCAACGTGTCACAAACGTTTCACTTGATAGTAAGTGATACTTTAACGAGAATCAATGAATGGGTAATTTTGAAATGAATCCCTATTTATATTCGTTCAATACTGTTCACTGGAAGAACTTATTCGATATCTATCCCATTCTGAATATATCGAGAGATACTGCAGTCTAGACAGTTCGCAAGGTTTTTTTGATACATAATCACCTTCTCATAAAAGCTTGAGGTTCAATAGAAAATAAACCTGCCCTTCTCAGGTGAAAACTTCATACTATAGTTATTGAAAAAAATAGTCGCTCTTGAGCCGTACTTTCAACTTGAACAAGTGGTAATAATAAAATCATCGGAAGTAATACTTACAAAATTCTCGTAGTAGAACGATCCAACAGATTTCATGTCCATCTGAAATAAACAGATGCAATTGATATTATTCCACCTCAAGAATGATGCAGAAACAACAAAACAAAAAATCAATTAGTTGAATTTTATTCGATACAGACAAAATATGAAAAAAAAAAACAACAATGTTATAACAAACAGTAGTTATTTTCAAGTAGGTCGCTGTAATTGAGTTGCTAGAATGTTGCGAGATGAATATTTCATGAAAGGTGAGGCGCAAGAAGAATATATCGGCAATTTTGACATGCAACATCGACAAAAGCGTTAAGCCCGAAGGAAATATAAGCGGATATTTACAAGCCCTTCTACGTACAGGTGCATCAAGCACTGTATTTGTTCAAATTTTTAGCGGACCTCGGTCACTAATTGATGCACCTTCTTTTCGTTGGAATCTTTATTCAGTAAATATTTTCAAGAAAATGGTTTGAAGGTAAGATGCAAACTGGATACAGCCTCTCACAACATGCTAACAACTTGAAACAGGTAGCAGTTCGCCCTCTCTACAAAATAACGCAGCTTTTTATTAAAAAACTTCCCTGGAAAGTTCATTTCGGATCCACTGTTGTAGAACATTTTTCATCTGAATACAATCGGCCACTGAAATATTACTAAACCTCCGAACTATGACAGTGGAAAATGTCTTGTAGAAAGTGGAGTTGACTTATATTATATTCCTTGATTATGTACACAATTTGTTTCATTTTAGAGAGATATTCGAATTGCAGGATGGATACTTTTCAATTTGAAATTACTCCAAAAGTCTTCTAGTACTAGGTGGCTTTTGAATGAGAAACTCATTTGTATGTGACGTGTGTCCAATCTGAGTATTGTGTATTGGAGACATAACTTATTCTACGAAAGAGCTACTCGTTTAAAATTATAATTGCAAACAAAATTTTTTCATTGCAACTAGCTTACTTGAGAGATCGATCTAGGAATTAGATTGCAAGATGAATCTTCCAATTAAGCCTAAATTTCAAGATGTATTCCAATAATAACTTCAGGCAAAAACAAATTAAGTTTTAACGTTATGTTGTTTAACGCCTTCGTAGAATTCTCTGATATGTCATCATCAAAGTAAGTCAATTGAGATGAAGATATCAATCCAACAGTCAAGTGAGATTACAGATTATGAATCGAGTAAGAAATCGTGTGTGTGTGTGAAGTAAATATATGCGTTTCACAATTCATAGCCATTTAGGTCTAACACGACTTTTTGACCACCTTATATTATTATGTTATATATCTGCAAAAAGTGGAATGAGTCATATGTGTGCAACAGTATAGCAACTAAGCACGACCACAAAATACGACAAAAGCCTCAAAGCTCTTGCCTAAAGATGATTACCAATGAAGCGATCGACATTTCCATATAAACACATGAAAGGGGTTGAGAATATTGGGTGAAAAAGGTCAGAAAACTAAACACCAAAAATAGGTCATATTCTTGTTGTTCTCGATATGGTAAAACTCTTGTCTAAATAAAAACCAGGTCATTATTCACCAATATTCCTATCGGTATTTCTATCATGTGTTTAGTTGGGGTGATCTAAATCGAATGCACTACAGCACAACGACGTATCTTCATATTAGTTTTGAGTTGAATTTACAAATACAGTCTAGAATTTGCTGAATGTTGAAAAAACAAATATACCAAATCTGGTCAGGCAATGTGAAACATGTTCTCAAAATAATTGCGAAGGTACAGGAACTGTTCATTAGATCTAGGTCACCAGGTATCTTTGAAAATGCCATCAAAGCTCGCGTCAAAGCGTATTTACAAATCGAAAGCGGTAGAAATATTGAATTTTGTGAATTTCAAATTTCTTCGAGGACAATTTTGAATGCTATAATAGGGATAAAGCAATGCAAAAAGGAAAAAAAGCAATGAATTTTCGAGAGAATCCTTCGCTGCGTCATTTCCAATCGTAGAGCACTGTAAAAAATAATTGAGTTAGGATGCAAACCACTACCCGGAAAGTGTAGAGTTGTGTGAGCGGTCAATATGTTGAAAGTGTTAGACTATACAGTTTTGTATTGTGTACATTTCCGTTGTAAAATCAAATAATCAATCATAGTTCACGCCATACTTTCCACATTTGCCATTTCTCAAATAAATTGAAAGTCAGTATGGTCTTTGATCATTTATGTTGACAACTTGAACATAACTCCGCCATTTGAAGTTGTATCACTGCATGTTATCGTGGAAAAATCATGTACGCAAGGCGTGCAAACAGCAGAGTAACTAGACAGGTTGGGCCCCCAGGCAAAACACCATTAAAAAAGTGAGAATTGAAATCAAATCATTCAATACTGTTGTCACCAATTGTGATAGCATGTAGGTGGATAGCCTTGATATAGTGTGTCTCATTGCAGATGAAAGGCCCCTAAATCTTGGGTGATCATGGTGGAAGGATTGAAAGTGCTTCCATCAGAAGTGAGATACACTGTATATGCCACATGGATTTGGATGAACTCGCCTTCAATGATTTCATATTGCTTGATATTTATTTTGAAAAATAGAACCCTAGACTTTGCCTCACTGCCATATAGTAGTTACGCCACTGCGTGCGAATGTATACAATACAAAAATCAACGATGTAACCACAATCGTCTCTATAACAAGCCGTGATGAGATGAATGGCAACGCCGCTTTCACTGGCGACATAGGCACAACGCTACTGCTCCGCGTAAGCGTAACGTCATTTCTTGGAGTGAACTTATACAAGGAATAGCAAAGTATAATAGGTCAGGTTTCATTCAGGTTCATAAGTTTAACAAATAACTGGCAAGTTCTGATTTGTTCATCGATCGTTCAAGTTCATGAAATGTGAAGTTTCTATTTGTAATGATTTTTCATAAACAGATTCCTATCTAATTCATGAATCAGTTTATATCATTTGTTTTTATTAACAAGCAATAACTTCCACATTTCATTAGAATATCAGAATGCTGATGTCCGTCTGCCTCCTCGTTCCCCGGGATACCAGAGTGTCCTTGAACCCACATGAGGCTGACTCCTAGTTTTTGCCATACTTTCTAAGGCACTTCTACACTCGGACATCATAATAATAGGGTATCAATGGTAAAACATGGTAGTACTCACGTGGAGAAGAACAAAATTTGGATTCACATGAAGTTACAAAATTATTTTATAAAAATTCAAAACAGGGAGAGGTGGGTATCTTATACAGGCGTTCTATTTTCAGAGGTATCGTATATACACTTGGCCCGTAAACGTAATTTGACTCACACCGTATGGATCGCGGAATTAACTTATTCTAGTTACGAAAATAAGGAAACAAAAAACATAATATCAACTCAACATCTGGTGGATTTTCCATAAATTTAAACTTATAATTAGTTAACTTATTATTCTTCACACTGTTTTCAAAATCACTCTATTGCATTAACGTGTATATGCTAGGCGAGGAACTTTCGGGCACTGTTGCCAATACTTCTAGCCATGGCAATGTTATAGAGACGGCCGTGATATAAAGTAAGTAGATAAAAAAAATAGTGTCATGCAAATGCAAAGCAAGCGGAATGGTACCAGTAAAAGATCTGTGTCGGCGGTGCTAGGCTCGCGCGGTCTCTTCTTGCCGATCTCAAGGGCTGCTGCAGTGGCGGAGGCCTGGGGGGCCAGCAATGGCGAAACGGCAGCAGACTATTAGTAGATAGCAGCGTTTTTTTGATCAAAGGCCAAGCGCATCCGCACCAACGGAGGGGGAGAAAATAAAACAAACCAGCACTAAATTAATTTATCTCATAGGGGATCGGATGATACTGGAAATTCACATGATCGCGAAATCGTTTATGCAAGTGATTGTTGTACAGGGTGTTTCATAACTGAAAGCTGATCCTAATCGGCGATAATCCTTGGATGATTTTAGTAAAAATACTTCATATGAACATAGGTCTGCATCCGCTTTATCTATGAGATACAGGATGTTGAAATTTCATAAAAAATCTGTATTTTCTCAATATCTAGTATTATGATATAAGAATATAACTTATGAATATGTTGTAGAAGAAGTATACTTGTAGAAACTCTTATCTTGATCCTTCGTATCAGTGATATGGGAATTATATCTCTCACAAACAGGTTATATGACTTTATTCGAATGTACTCATTTCGGATTTCAAACACTTCTCAGTAACCTGAAATCCAGTTATTCTTTCAGCCATTCTTCATTATATACATAACTTTCTCTCTCTATAATATATCTAAAACTATAAAGAACTGAATCTGAGAATTGTTTGTTGACATTATGTTCATAGGATATTTTAGTCCTAAAATTAACCAATTAATCACCTCCTTCAATATAAACATGACATTTATGAACACCCTGTATATGTTAGAAATAACAATAACTTCTCCTCGAATCAGTAATTTTCGACTTAAGATGTCATCCTTCTAGAACATCAGATTTTCATTCAGGACGAATAATTAAGCTGTTCATAGACATAATTTCAGTTTGTCGGAATTGCTAATGAAAGGAGCATAGCGTAAATGAAATGCAATAATGATTTGTACTGCTCCATCACGATGAATATTAGGCATTATCCACGGTAATTGAAAATTAGCCATTCAAACTGAAATGATGATTCAGCCATTGCAGTCCTAGTAAAAAACTTTTATTATAGAGACCGTTCACAACCGGAATGATAATGAGATGAGCGAATATAACATTTTCACTTCTACTGTTAGTGTTCATATTAGGTAATTTTCATTAAATAAACGAATCATTGAAAATAGGTGACTGTACGGTCAGATGCAAAGAAAATGTCGCGGTTGGATGGTGTTAGCGCTCTTATTGCAGAAGTGGATTTGCTATGTTCATTGCATCTGACTATATCTATTTCATATTTTGAAAAAGTAAATTTTGAAGCTCGCTAAATAAGGTGATCATGCATAAAGAAAAAACCTCATTGAGATAGAACATGAATATCATTAGGCGCTTTGTTTATTGTTATTGCACCAGTTAGAAATGAATGAAATG